TATACAGTGTTCTGTCTGCATGTATGCCTGCAGGCCAGAAAAGGGCACCAGATCTCATTATAGATGGCTGCTAACCATTATATTTGCTGGGAATTGAACTCAGGATGTCTGAGCCATCATCTCTCCAGCTCTCTAGTGGTCCATTCTAAATTGATGAGTTTGGGTATCCTATCTTGTGGACTCTGTGATTAATATCCTCACCATTGACTGTCTCAGGTTATTTCTATTCCTGTCTTGCCAGCAGAGTCCTGCGGTGATGCAGACCCTCATGTGGTGAAAGACAGAGAGCACATGGGTGTGCTCTGGTCTCTGCCTCCTTTTGTAAAGCTACCAATATTCATGGCACCTCCACTCTTGTGACCTTACTTAATCCTAGTGAATTCTAAAGACTTTCCCCTGAACTCCATAATTAGATTAACTTTACACTCTCTTCATATCTCACAGCAGCAATTAATTCAACAATGGGCTCTCAGAGGATGTTCTCACCCTTATTCAAACCCTGGTGCCGACTGTGGGTGAACTCCAGAGATGGAAGAATAGGGCCAAGGGTGTAGCTTGCTGGTAGAGTGTTTTACTAGCTTGTGTGAGGCCCAGTTGTTTTTAAAAATGATTTGTTTATTGTGTGTGTATAGCACACTCGGGCACATGGGGACTTAAGTGCCATGGTACGTGAGTAGGAGTCAGAGGCCAACTTTTGAGTCAGTTCTCTCCTTTCACCATGGGCCTAGGGATCAAACTCAGATTGTTAATCTGGCTGAGCCATCTTACTGGCCCTTTTTGTTTTTGAGACAGAATGTCACTAATTAGCCTGGATGGCTTAGAACTTACAATTCAGCACAAATCTTCCTACCTCAGCTTCTTGAGTGCTGGGATTACAGGTGTGTACCACCACTCTCCACTGAGGCCTAGGTTTGATTCCCAGTATGCCATTCAAATTTTCACCGTTGTGACAGATACACCTTCAAGAAAGTTTAAAGGAAGAAAGATTCTTTTTGGCTTTGGATTTTTAGAAGTTTCAGTCCATGGTTAACTAGCTCTTTAGGTTTTTTAACTTTTTTGTTTGTTTGGTTTTGTTTGATTGTTTTTGTTTTTTGAGACAGGTTTTTCTCTGTGCACCCTGGTTGTCCTGGAACTTGCCCTGTAGACCAGGCTGGCCTCAAATGCAGAGACTCTCTTGCCTCTGCTTCTGCCCCTGGAATGCTGGGATTTAAGGCATACCCTTAATCATGCCAGCTCTATTTCTGTTGCTTTCAAGCTGTTTATCTCATGGTAGCCCAGAAGCAGAGAGACAGGAAGTGAACAGGGTCCCACAATCCACTTCAAGAACATATTCCTAGCCACCCACTTTCTCTAACCTTCTGCAGTTACACCACCTGTTAGTCTATTTAAATTTTGAATCCATTGATAGATTAAGTCCTTGATTAGGTCAGATCTAGTTTAGGTCAGAGATTTAGCCATCTCTGGAGACACCCTCACAGATATACCTAGCAGAGTGCCTTACCAATCTTTGGATGTCTCTCAATCCAATCTTGTTAACAGTCGAGTTTACCATCACATCTAGCATCAGAAAAAAGCAGGGAAGAACAGAATCAAGTTGTTAGTAATCCCATTTCCTAATCAGCTAATTGACTTTTCTCTTTCAGTTTTATGCATGTGAGATGGTGCTTGAGGAAGAGGGAGTCTATGGAGGTGAGAGGAACTGAATGTGAGTGGAGGCAGAGAACACATGAAGAAAGAAATAACTCCTGCTTTCCACTTCCCAGCCCCCTCTCTGGGTCCTTCTCCTGGTGCTCTAGTGAGAAGTTCCTGGGAAGAAGCTTGGGAATAGGACCCAAATGAGAACAGCATGGGAAGCTGGGGCTCCAGTACAGAGGGCCCAGCTGCTGCTTCTAAGATTGCCCCGGACTCCTCAGCATGGCCTGCTCTGTCTCCCACAGCCTGACTCTGTCCTCTCCCTCGGCCTCATCGTGGGCCGCTCCTCTCCTTAACTTGTCACCTTTTCACTCCTGGGACTTTGTGCTTGCTTTCCTCCTGCTTAGATGGCTCTACCCTGAGAATTTCCCCCCAAATTCTAACTCACCGTCTAAGCTCTACTGGTACTGTATTTCCTTCCGTATTTCCTTCCGTAGCTCAGGTATTACTGGTGTGTCTGGACAGGATGTTCCCACATTTTCTTGGCCTCTTAGCCAAAGGATTGAAAATAAGGGCTGACATATATCTGTAAAAGAAGCAAAATTACTTAATTTGGAGTTAAGTGATAGTACATATTATAAAGGGATACACGTTGAGATTGGCAGCCATCTGCATGAGGGAGAGTACTCAGGGACCCAGGCTAGTGACCTCTCTTTCTCTTTTTGAGTCAGGGTCTCTATATAGTCCTAGCTCTCCTAAAACTCACTATGTATATCATGGCCTCTAACTCACAGAGATCCACCTGCCTCTGCCTCCTGAGTGCTGGGATTAAAGATGAGAACCACCACACCTGGCCTGTGATCTCTTTTTATGGGGTCTAAAGGAAGGAAGGGCTGGTAACAGAGAATCATAGTTTGGGTGATTCCTCATTTTGATTGATACATTAGGTCATATATTTATCTTTTCTATTGCCCAAATCTCTTCCCATAATTTGTCTAATTTTAATCATGTGCAGTCCCAATTATGCATAAACATAAGATGGTAAAAAGGAGAGTCTCCCTAAGAGGTCACTTGAGGATGTAGTTTAGGCCATATCAGCCCTCCTATTCTTTGTACCTGGTATATTGGAAATACACTTGAATAAAAACTGTCTAAATTTGATTGTTACTACAGGTGCAGGAACCTATAATATTGTTTAGAGATGGAACAGGTGTAGTCCAGTGCAGGTGGAAGTTTGACGGGGCTCTGAGGTTGCTAAGTTCTGAGGAGACATTGGACAGGAGTGTGTGTGCACAGTACGTGCAAGCTCAGGAACTAGGCTGCCCAGTGCGTTATTATAAGGGCCAGGGGAGCTACACATAAGCAAAACCAGATAAGAGTATCAGGCTAAACGCTCCTGTGCTTGCCTGCTTTACAGGGAGTCCTTGAGCTTGTCATCTTGCCCCACTTTCCTGCATAGCTGGTCTTCCAGGCCTGTGACATCAGGCTTGGCCTTATTTATTTATTTGAAGTACTGGGTATTGTATAAAGGACTGTGTGTATGCTAGACAAGTGCTCTTCCACTGAGCTATATTATGGCTCTTTTTTTACTTTTTATTTATTTATTTTTTTGTAGTCAAGTGTCTCTCTATGTGTCACTCGCTGGCCTTGAACTCAGACATCTGTCTGCCTGCCTCTGTCTCCCAAACACTGGGATTCAGGGTGTGTACCATCATGGCCAGTCTCTTTTGCTTTCTTATATAGAGTCAGAGTTTCACTGAGTTACTTCAGCTGCCTTTGAACTCACTCTATAGCTCACACAAGCAGGAAGTCTTTCCTTTACCCGTAGTTATATTTGTGCTCATTGGTTTCCTGATTTGTTTTGTGATGGGACTAGAACTCAGGGGCTCATATATGCAAAGCATGTATTCTACACAAGTCCAGGGCTTGCTATTTTGCTTTTTTGGGAAGTACAACTATAATAAATACTGTGTAGGTGGAGTTTTCCTATCCCGCAGCCACTCTCTTATAATATTAATATTAATTACAAATGCTCGGCTGATAGCTCAGACTTGTTACTGCCTAACTTGCATTTAAATCAACCCATATTTCTTATGTATGCTTTGCCACATGGCTTGGTACCTTTTTTAAGTACAGCATGCCCATCTTGTTCTCTCTGAGTCTCTTGGCGACTCTCTCTCTGCCCCTCTTCATCCCAGTATCCTCAGTTTGATTGTCCCACATAACTTTATCCTGCCTTGCTATAGGCCAGTCAGCTTCTTTCTTAGCCAATGAGAGTAATACATATTCACAGTGTACAGAAGGATTATTCCACAGCAATATTGTATCATAATTTGTCTGCTGCATTTGTCCACCACTAGATCATAAATTCCAGAAGATTGAGAGGACCCATTTTGTTCACCGCTGTCTCCCCAGTGCTTGGTAGAGTCCTACATGTAGGTGAACTTCAGTATTATCTGCTGAATCATAAGTGCAGATGAATGATTTCTCAATACTTGTTCTTGACCCCCTAATACAAACCACTACTTACCACACTGCATTGTGAGCTGCTGTGTATATGTCTTCTTCTGTGACTGCACTGGATACTCCTTCAAGGCAGACTCTCCCTTACTCTGAGTCTCCAGGACTAACTGTAAACTGGCCTAGAGCAGGCACCCAGCATTTGTTGCATGCCTATAGCAGAGCTTCATTTAGTGTGGAACCACGCAAGGCTGATGTTCTCTGTCTCCACAGATGTGAGCTGTGATGAATGGGCCTTTTCTCTGCTGCCTCTTGATGTAGATCTGCTGAGCATGGAACTGCCGGAATTCTTCAGGGATTACTTCCTGGTAATGCAGGGCCCTTGAGTCTTGGTATTGGGATTTATGGGGTCCAGTGGATTAGAAATATTGGCACATTTTTCCAATTCATATATTTCCAATTCATATATTCATACTTATTATGAGTGGCTGATTTTACAGATGAAGAACTGCAGATTGTTTTGGATAGAACTTCTGTCAGGACTCTCAATTCACTATTGCCATGGTCAAACACCTAAGAAAGCCTCTTACAGGAAGGGAGATTTATTATTTGAGAGAGAGAGACAGACAGAGAGAGAGAGAGGGAAAGAGAGAGAGAACCTGCATTAGCAGGCTTTCTCCTGTTCCCCTTATCCTGCCTGGAGACTTACCTGGCTATGTATGGTCTGTTCCTCCTCAGGGCAGTCTTACCATGCAGTTATCCTCTCTGGAGACACCCTCACACATATACCCAGGGTGAGCTTTACTCTGGAGACACCCCCACGGATATACCCAGGGTTAGCTTTACTCTGGAGACACCCTCACGGATGTACCCAGGGTGAGCTTTACTATGCTTCTAGGTGCTTTCCACTCCATCAGGTTGACTGTCAGGATTAACTGTCACAGGAGTCCATAGAATGAACTGCTCCAGCATTCCCAGACAGCACCATTCCACTCCAGGGCATCTAGGGCTAGCCATTCTCCACTTGTCAAATGGGTTGGCATGGGTCTTTGTGGGTCCTTGTGGCCCATGTGGTCTCTGCAGGAAGGGGATCAGCGTTGGATCAACACTGTGGCTCAGGCCCTGCACCTTCTCAGCACTCTCTATGGACCCTTTCCTAACTGCTACGGCATTGGCAGATGTGCCAAGGTAAGAGGCAGCCGGGCAGATGTGCCAGGCAGATGTGCCAGGGCAGATGTGCCAGCAGAACTCTTGTCCTTAAAGCCCATTTTCTGTTTTCTTTACCAACAAAGATGATCCCTAGGCATCTGTGGCATAAGGAATATTCATTCCCGGGCTTTTATGTCCCAGAATGGTTGCCTTAAGAGGAAAATCTGTGTGGCCAGTAGATAAGCAAGAACTTCTAGGTCACATTCCTAAGTCTCTGTCTCTGGGCAGGGGAACATTTCCCAGTGCTGTGGGAGGATAGAAGCAGATGGGAGTAGAACAGACTTGTATTCCTCACAGTTGACTCCCTTCTGGGGGACAAGACAGCATGCCATGGAGGTGTGGGGCTCCTAGAGGACCTGGACACAAAATTGAGATTGTCTTGGGCTCTGGTAGATGTCATATGATCTCTGGAGGAAGCTGGAGGAGGAGGAGGACAGTGAAACCAAAGGTCGAAGACCAGAGATCGGACACATCTTTCTCCTAGACAGAGGTAAACGTTGCCCAGCACTCTCCCATCCTTGGGTCCTAGAAGGCAGGGGTATGGACAATGTGCTGGCAAAGTTGGGTCCTAAAGTTAGGGCTGTTAATCTCCATATTGGTTGTGAACATGGGAACTCGTGGGAAGTTCTTGAGCTGATATTGAGCAAACCGAATAGAAAGCTGGTCTGGGGATCTTCATCCTTGGGGTCTTGGTTTCAGACATGGACTTTGTGACAGCACTTTGCTCCCAAGTGGTTTACGAGGGCTTGGTAGATGACACTTTCCGAATCAAGTGTGGTAAGTGCTATGACCCCTGCATCTTGACCAAGTGGAAGTGAGCCCAGCCTCGGGTGACTCCCATGTAGGGCAGTACTTGTGGGGAGTGGGGACCATAGGAGGCCTTTAGCAGAGGTCAGAAATGAGCAGGAGGCGGCCTTATGGAGGTCCTAATAGCTGTCCTTCTGCCCCCAAGGGAGTGTCGACTTTGGCCCAGAAGTCACATCCTCCGACAAGAGCCTGAAAGTGCTACTCAACGCTGAGGACAAGGTGAGGGTATGGGTGGAACGGGATTTACCCAGGACCACTGCTGCACAAGGCTGGGCTGCAGCCCTGGGCAGGAGCCAGATCCCTGGGAGGTTCCCCTGTCAATTAGGATCAGACCCAAACCAGGATGGTGGTACCCACCTGGAATTCTATCTTGGAAGATGGAAACAGAGTTCAAGGCCAGCCTTAGCTACATATGACTATCTCAAAATCCAAAAATGAAAAATAGCCCAAAAGAGTAGATGCAGAACTTAGTAGATGGCCCCGATACCCACTTTGTAATACCAGCTCAGCTCTGGTCATCCTTTGTTTGGCTGGTGTCGTTCTCATGAGGCAGGCTGGGCCTGTCACTGCTCTGACGCAGTCAGTGGCTCCTGTCTCGTTCTTTCACAGGTGTTCAGTGAGATCCGTAACGAGCACTTCTCCAATGTCTTCGGCTTCTTGAGCCAGAAGGCCCGGAACTTGCAGGCTCAGTATGATGTAAGGCTCCAAGCCCTGCTCCTCTCTTGGGCTTCTTTAGCATTCCCTTTCTAATCCTATGACAGGCCTCCTGTGTCTGCTCATGGATGGGTAGCAGCTGAGGGAGAATGGAGGTTTCTCAGAGGGTGCTGACCTTTGGGGACATCTCCACAGCGCCGGAGAGGCATGGACATAAAGCAGATGAAGAACTTCGTGTCCCAAGAGCTCAAGGGACTAAAACAGGAGCATCGCCTGCTGAGTCTGCGTAGGTGCTAGCCTGGGGGTAAGGGAAGGTGACTGCATGGCCTCCAGGGGAATGCTGCTGAAGGCCATGACCTTCTTCCAAAAGGAGACTCTTGCTCTCCTGCAGACAGCCTCATTGGTTTAAAGCAGGAAAAAGTGCCTATGGGTTTTCCTCCGTGAGGTTTCTGTTCTGGCGATCAGGGACTGTCCTAGAAACAGGAAAGTCAGTATTTTATCCTTTCTGCAGATATCGGGGCCTGTGAATCAATCATGAAGAAGAAAACTAAGCAGGACTTCCAGGAGCTTATCAAGACTGAGCATGGTAACTGCAGCCTCTCCAGGTTCTTCTCTTGCTCCTACCCCTCTGGCTTCTAGCCCCCAGAAAGATGCTTTTTAGCTCTCTCCAGCTGACAGTGCTGGGTTTGTAGAATGCTGGGGGTCCCCTTAGCTCCACCCATGATGGAGAAAGAGATAAGGAGACAGACAAATCTGTGCCAGGCTGATCCCAGGAATGGGCTGTTTTCTGATCTCTCACAGCGCTGCTGGAGGGCTTCAACATCCGAGAGAGCACCAGCTACATTGAGGAGCACATAGACCGGCAGGTGAGCGCGTGTGCTGGGACGCGGCGCGTGGGGTTCCTAAGCAGGAGAAAGAAGACTGCATGTGCATCCTGAAGTGTCCCTCCCCATGCATCCTGAAGCGTCCCTCCCCGTGCATCCTGAAGTGTCCCTCCCCGTGCATCCTGAAGTGTCCCTCCCCATGCATCCTGAAGCGTCCCTCCCTGTGCATCCTGAAGTGTCCCTCCCCATGCATCCTGAAGTGTCCCTCCCCATGCATGCATCCTGAAGCGTCCCTCCCCGTGCATCCTGAAGTGTCCCTCCCCATGCATGCATCCTGAAGCGT